ACAGAGGCAGAGCTGGGTCTCCTGCCCTGGTGTTCACCATCTGTGTCCCTTTCTGTTTTTCCAGACCACCTCTTTTTTCTCCCTCTTCTTCTCTTCTCTCTCCCTCCCTCCTGTTTCTTTCCTCTTATCTGCCTGAGCTTCCGCCCATCAGTGCCTCCCCGTCTGGCCAGCATAACCCTTATTTCATGTACCCTGTGCTTCAGTTCTTGGGGTCCCAAACATAGCCTGGCATTCATCTGAGAATGGGGAAGGGGAGCATAGGAAAAATACAGCTTTATAGAGAAAAAGTGCAGATTGTGATTCAGCAGAAGCCTGGGATGAGGCCAGAACTCTCTGTTTTTGATAGATTTCACTTAACTATGTGAAGGTCATGGACGCCTTTACTAATAGAAGCTATGGGCCATGTCTCCAGAAAAATGTGCAATTACATATACGTGTAAGCCAACTCCAGATGGCTCTCAGAGCCTATCCCAGAGCCCAGATGAGAAGCCCAGGCTGGACAGAATAAGCGGCTCACTCTCTCCCACACCTGACCAGCCCTTCCTGCTCTCAGCCCTTTGAAGGTTGTTCTAACAGAGCTGTGCACCAGCAGGAGCCACCTTCCTCGGGCGGGAACTGGTTAGAAAATGCACAGTCTCAGCCCACCCTAAAGCTGCAGAGCAAATCTATACTTTCACATGATCCCCAGGAGATGGCTAAACATACTAACATTTACGATCTCTGTAAGTTAACCCCCAAATCTGCCTCCTCCTCTACCTAATAATCTCCCAAGGTACAAAATCTACCCAACCCCTGGACCCATCTTAAATGTACCTTCCCTGAGCCTTCTCTGCCTGCCCCAGCTATTACCCTGTGTCACTAGAGTGACCCCAGCATGGGTATCAAAGGAGTCAATGGAAAGCTATTAAAACACTGTTTTAATGCTTGTCTCTATTCCATGTTATTTTCACAATGTTTGTTTCCCTTACACCTTCCCAGTTCAGCACCTTCACAGGGTACCTCAAATGTGCTCACCTGGCCCTTGCCCCCTCATCACACTGCTCAGGCCACCTCGCACAATGCAAACCCCGAATGAGGAAAGTAGCTTCCCCCTGACGTGTAACCCCAGGTGCTACAGGGTGGCTCACACTGCCCCTAGCCTAAGAGTTTGCATAGCTCTACCCCTCCCACACAGCAGCCCCCCACCCAGCACTCAGAAGCTGATCCACTGGGCTGGCCCAGCACATTCTAATGGACAAGCCCCCCTAGACACCACTCCCTCGCCCCAACCAACCCAGGCCACTGTAGGAGAACTTTCTCTTTCTCTTCCCAAATGCCATTCCCCTCTCCACACCCCCTCCATCTTTGGCTTCTTCTTGCAAAAAGACACGGGGCAGATCCAGCCGGAGCCCAAGAAATCCTAGATGCTGGCAGCTTGGGGGAGCTCTGCTCAGATTTATTCCTAAGCCCAGACGGACTTTCCACAATTGCTTTCTTCAGTGTCTCTTCTGGGAAGTAAGCTTCATGGTGGGTCCCTTCTCTCTCGCCCCATGGCCGGCCCCTGCCTGGGGTACCTCACAGCTTAGGTGCAAAGGGTCTGAGTGTTACAAGGGGACGGTGCGGCAGATGGGAAAGAGCACAACAGTGAGAGCCCAGAAATGCAGGAACCAGCACACAACTACAGTCCTCAGTATTCCTTGTCTCCTCGGGTCTGTCTCTGCTTTGCTCTTGGGCTCAGTTTCCTCATTGGAAAACAGGTAGTCGATCCTGAAGGCCCCTTTTATATCTGATGTCCTGTGACAGAGTAAAGGATTTGAGTCCCTGAGAGGAAAGGGATTCAGAGTACAGACCCGGAGCAACCGGACTCAGGTCTACCTAGAGCTAAGAGCTGACCTGGAGGAGGGGCCCAGGAGAATCTAGAGAACATCCCGTGGTGGGGGGGCACATTTCTCTCCCAAAGACCTGCACGGAGGGGGTGCCGGTGCCAGCAAGCACAGGCAAGGGGCCTGGGCTAGGTGGGCAGGGCAAGGCCCCAATGCTTCTGATCCTTCTAGAAAGCTCACTTTTACTTCTTTCACCCCTGACACTGAGTGGGCGTCTGCAGCGATGACCAAGGCACACCCGGAGCGTGCTGGTGGTGAGGTCAGCCCACAGGGAGGAGGGAGGAAAGCATTATTCACTAAAAGGAATGTTTCCCTTCCTCATCAATGAGTTAATTGGGGTGGGGGTCCCAGTGGTGCTGGGGATTCGGGGAGCATCAAAACATTGATCCCTCTCTGAACCTGTCCTTTGCATGCCCCTCTCTACCCCTCGCAGAGCCCAACCCAGGCTGTGCTGAGATGTTCCCAGCACGGCCCCACGTGAGCGCCCTGGCTCCAGGCCCAGCCTCTGGAATGCAGGCTCCAGCCAAATGGGCCGTCTCCTGCCGGATCCGGGAACTTCCAAAGCTGCCTCAGAGTGGGGATTTCCACCCTTTTCTCCCATCCTGTGACTGACCTTCCATCTGGAGGCAGCATCTCTTCTGGACAGAAGTGGGGGGGCAGATAACTGTCATTTTCCAAAACACTCTCTTTACTCATTTACACCCTCTCACCTTCCACATGTTTTCTGTCTGACGAGTCACTTTGCAAAGATGACAACTTTCCCTGAAGTAGAGGCACAACTTCTAAGGCTTAGAATTTCTGACCAAGCACTCAGCAAAGCTGGGAAGCTTTTCCCTGCGACCATGGGCCAGTGGGTCTCCTTCTCTGGAAAGTGGCTTCCTCGCATAATAAGAGGAGATTGTACTACAGTCCCTCCATCTGACCTATGGGTCTGGGGTCCTGTGAGTGATGGTGACATGACAAGCCCAGAGAGAAGAAAGCATCTTTCCCTTGGTGAGGGAAACCCCAAAGAATGTCTGGATGCCACAGGGAAATGGAATGCAGCCCTCCAAGTCCATGGTCAATGAAGCACCATGGATGAGAGGGTTTTCCATTACTACTGGGGAAAACTTCTTGGAAATTAAGATGAGAAGGTCTGAGGAGAAATGACTGTATGAAGTTGCATGGTCTCCTGTCCTGGAAATATCTTATTCATTTGATAAGAATGGAATGAGCCATGGGTGAAGGTCTTAGCCAAACAGAGAGGTTTCAACACTTGTTAGGGAGACGAGGGGTAACTAGCAAGATTCAGGCAGAATCCAAATAGGCTCCCTGGGAGGTAGGAGCAAAGCAGGGTTCACGATGCTGAGTTCTCTCTTTATTCTTTCAGCCATTTTGTGATTCCTCCCAAGAGTCTGGAATGGCCCCTCCACAGAATCTGCTCTGGGATTCTCTAGGAAAGCAACATCCATCAGGGGACACCTTGATGTCCCAGGTGGGAGTCTCAGCCACATCTCTGAGATCCTGGTTGGCTTCTTCTTCAACCTAAAGAAAGTTGGGTTGTTTGGAGGTGCTGGAAGTCACATCGGCAGGGTGGATGCCCCGCGGAGGGTGAGTGCTGAATTGTGCCATTCCCGACCCTCACTGTGAACAAAACGCAGTCATTTGTTTAATGAACCCATTTCTTATTACAACTGTAGTCATCGGCAGGTGTTCTCTGCCAAAAAACTGAGTGCCTTTATAGGGATTGCCTCAGCGCCCTGGATGAAAGAGAGCTCCTGATTTTCCATGCCCACTGGGCAAGGGCACGCCAGGCTCAGAAAGAGAAGGCAGAGGTTTAGGGGTGTGGTCTAAAGACTTGGGCTCCAGGCTCGGCTCAGCCAAAAATACACCTCAAAGGATCCTACCATATTTGTAACAGAAAGAGCTTCAGTGAAAGGAATGCTCAAGTCTTTTAGCTGTTTTTATTCAGATTCCATTTCTGAGGAAACCAAAGACGAAACTGCAGAACAAAACCAGACATTCCAATTCCTGAAAGACTATGCCTCTTCTCCTCAGTCATACTCCCTGGAGATCAAGAAAGAGGCAGGAAGAACAGACCTCCATGGGGGGCAGAGTACATTTCTGGGCCTTGGCTATGCTAACCACAGGCTCCTAACTCATGGTGACTTCACCACAGGGAAGGATCCCCCCCCCCTTAGCTGTCGGCTTGCCTGTAAGATGCTAAGGACAGAAAAAAGATACAGAAGCATGGCCAGGCAGCCAGCCGGAGGACTGGTGAATGTCCTCTTCCAGAGGTACATCACAGTGGTGACCGCACAGACACCGGGGCTGGGCTGCCTGGCTTCTGCTGGAGGGGACCTGGGGCCGGTTATTAGACTTGCCTCAGGTGCCTGACCTATAAAGTGGGAGTTAACCAGGCCTATACAGAGAGCTCAGGAATTTGAAGACTTAACCTTTGTAAAGCACTTGAAATATTCCTGATACAGAGTAAACGCTCTGTGACTATGACAGAAGCACTTCCTCGCAGCGCCACGCCATGTAGGTGGTTTCTGCCAAGTCTGAAAATTCCAAGACTCTTAGAATTCAGTTCAGTGTTTATAAAACAGCACAGCTCTGCTAGGTGTCTACTGCGGCTCCACCCTATATCTGAGCAGACAGGTGGACATCATGTGCTTTGGGGAGCCTGCCCAGGCTTTAAGCCCTTCCTGACTCAGGCCCCTTGGCCTGGCACCTGCAGGTGGGCCAGCGTCAAGCGGTACATACTTTGATCTGCCTAGTGGTCTCAGTTTCCTCACTTTCTTCCTTTTCTGCAGAGTTTTCACTTCAGAGAAAACAGAATCCTTAAGAATAACTCATTTGGCTCACATCCGTCTGTGGTCTGTCTGTGCTTAACGGCACCCATCCTTCCCCCTCCCACACACACTACCCTTGGTTTCAACAGTGAATGGAAAACATGCCTGCCAGACTTGGCACTTCCCTCTCCTACTTCCTGGAAATCTCCCAGGGAGAGAGTTGGACTGGCTCAGCAGATTTACAATCCCACAGCATCATTCATTGAAGATGCTGCCCTGGGCCAAGCCCTCCCTCTGGGATCCACCCTCTTTGCTTTTCAATAAAAGGCAGTAACAGAGCCTTCAGAGGAGCAGAGAGGCTGAGACCAACCTAGAAACCTCCAGCTCTCTCACTGAAGCTCAAGTCCCACCGCGCTCACCCTCGTCTCGCGCCCTCCAGCATGAAGGTCTCTGCAGCCCTCCTGTGCCTGCTGCTGGCACTAGCCGCCCTCAGCCCCCAGTGCTTTGCTCAGCCAGGTAAGGCCCCTCCTCCTTCCCCTTGGAACACAAGGACCCCCTCTGGGTGATCATAGCCCTTCCTAGCAGAAGGGGCACCCACAGTCTCACTTCCACAGCTGCTTTTCCAAGATAAGGCAACTCAGAGAAGGGCAAGGACTGAGTCCGGTCTCACAGCTCTGCTCCTGGGCTGAGCCTGAGCTAGAAGACCCCCTGTGGACCCCATTCCAGCTCCTCCCAGGACTCCAGCCCTGGGAATAGCCTCAGTGCATTTAACGTCCCACCTGCTTCCAGCAGAGTTTGGGGACAAGAGTGATGGAAGAGAGGGGTCTTTAAGGGGGTGGGTGTGCAGGCTGTCTCCAGACACAGGGAAAGGAAGAGAAGGAGCCCCAGAACCTGGTTCTTCATTCAGCCCAGCTCCAGAGACAGCAGGTCTGCCGGGGGTGTGGGTGTCAGGGAAACTCACAACCAGGGGCTTATTGCTCAGAGCCTAAAAGGGGGCCCATACCTGGGGCCCCCAGGGGCCCTTCCCTGGCCCTGATAGTTTGGACTACTAGCTCCTCTAACATTACCTAATTTTAGCAGCTCCCCTTTCTCTCTGTGTGCATTGTCGGTGTCAAGTACCCATTTATAGCACAGGAAACTGAGTCCGTGGGTCCAAGATCACATTCCAGCTGTGAAGTACAGGCAGACATATTGGGATTTAATGGGCTGCCCTCTTCTCTAGGCCTCCTCTTTGCCCTCTCCTTATGACTCTTTTTCTATTTTGATTAAATCAAAAGAATCCAGCTGACCCTGAAATGTTTTTTTTTTCTTTGTGGTTTATTTTCCAGATGCAGTTAATGCCCCAGTCACCTGCTGCTATTCATTCTCCAGTGGGAAGATTGTATTTAAGAGGCTGGTGAGCTACAGAAGAGTCACCAGCAGCAAGTGTCCCAGTGAAGCTGTGATGTGAGTTGACCACACCAATCATCCCTGGTCCAAAGTTCTTCCTCAGGGAGCAGAGGAAATCCTTCACAAACTTGTAGTCAGAGAGTTACACCATCTAACCCAATACCCAAAGCTTCTCAAAGGGAAAATAGGCCCAAGAGGGAAAAAGTGACTACTACCATCCCGATCTCCTTAGGCTGAAGTCAGGATGGCTTCACCTGGGGCACGTATAGGAGCAGCTTGCTCTGGGTTCCATCTTTCCACCTGCCTCCCTTCTCTAGTGCCTTTGGTAACCCCTAGGTGTAGAATAGGCTGCACTCGTAGGCTGAAACTTCATCTATCTGTCTCTTCTCTCCCCACAGCTTCAAGACCAAACTGGCCAGGGAGATCTGTGCTGACCCCGAGAAGGAATGGGTCAAGGAATACATTGCCCGGCTGGACAAGAAAACCCAAACTCCATAGCCTTTGAACACTTACTCCACAACCCAAGAATCTACAGCTAATTTATTTTCCCCAGATCTCCCTAAATACCCTATTTTATTTTATTATAATTTCACTTTTTTGGTCGATATGAAACATAATTCCTTAAGTAATGTAAACCTTATTTAAGTTATTGGTGTTTTAAAGTTTTTCTTCTGTGATACTAGTGTTTTGTTAGATATGGAAACTTAGACTAATCGCTTTCCTTCTGTGAACCCCAACTGAGATGTTTTGCAAAAGATCATTCATGCAATGACTTCTCGTTTTGAAATTCCAAGACACTGCTTAAAAATGTTATTATGGAAATGAGTATTATGTGACTACTAAATAAAAAATATATATTTTTGTACAAACCCTGTCTTCTGGCGTTTTCTTGAAGGAAATCATGAAGTTGAGAGTATGGGCTTGGTGGTGGGAGAGAAGCATGGTTTCAGAGGGTGGATTCACATTTTAGAGAAATGGGGATGTGGATTGGTCCTGTTTTTCTCTACTGGGTGGTCTCATCTGAGTGTCCCCAGGAGAACCTTTAGGACAGGCCCAGTCAGGTACTAAAGCACTTTCATTCTAGTCCTCAACATTAACTGCCCAGATCCCAACCACTCTGGTTCCCTGTTTAGCAAGGCCCTCATCCTCCTTCCCTTTCTCATGGCCCTGAGAAAAACCCTCCTTGCCTAAAATCCGTCCCATAATACATCACAACTGCCCCCTTAGCTGGGCCATTCACCCCCAACCTGTGCCCCTCTGATTAATCCTCCAACCTGGAGTAATCCAGACACTGCAGGTCTTAAGAAATGAGGAAAAACTTAGTCAATAAGAGGATTAGATTAAGTTTTTTTTTCTCGTTTTTTTATGACAGAGCTCACCATGTCACCCTCGGTAGAGTGCTGAGGAGTCACAGCTCACAGTAACCTCAAACTCTTGGGCTTAAGCAATTCTCTTGCCTCAGCCTCCCCAGTAGCTGGGACTACAGGCACCTGCCACAACACCCAGCTGTTTTTTTGGTTGCAGCTGTCATTGTTGTTTAGCAGGCCTGAGTTGGGCTCAAACCCGCCAGCCTAGTGGATTTGTGTATGTGCCCTACTCATTGAGCTACAGGCACTGAGCTTAGATTAAGGTTTCATAGAGTGGGTTATGATTTGAACCTGTCTTTGAGAAATGTATAAGGTTTTTCTAGAAAAAATGCAGAATTGTTAAGAAAAGGAGAAATAGCTGGAGGTGCAAATGACAATGATGTGCACATCAAAGAGTTTGAAACACAACCACGTGGGAGCCAGGGTCTACGTCTGTCAAGGGATGGGACGTTTAGAAAGGAAGTGTGGCTAAAGTGTGTTGAATGTTCGGAGGGAGTTAGTCCTCAGCTTCATAGGTTAAAATGAAACATTAGTAATCTTCACTCTAGTGAGGAAGGATGTGCCATTTTCGGAGGTTCAGAGATGAGTTTCAGGAAGTGTCACTCAGTGGCTTCATCCAGACATTGAGCAATAGGGCAAGTGAGGGGCTACTGCTGTGGTCCACACAATGATGAAGCCTAACTATGGAGACTAAGAGGCAGCTCTGGATAAGAATGAGCTCGGCAGGTGACGAGCCACAGGTTGTCAGTGGAGGACAAGGACCTTTGATTTCAGATAAGGAAACCTCTTCTTCAACCCACCTTGTAAAGGAACAGGTTCCCTGAAGCCAGAGCATACTTCCCGCCATCACTATCCCCCCATCCCAATCCCTGGAGCCTGCAATCAAGCATTTTAGCAGATGGGCCTCCTTTTCCTAAAGGTCCATCCAGATGTCATTCCCCCGAATGACAAAAGCCTGACATGAAAGGCATTCAGTCCACATGGGCGCCCAGATAGCCCTTTCTGTCACTTAGGAAAATAGATCTCTTACTCGATTGAATAAACTGCATAGTTCTCAGCTTTCTGATCAGTGCAGAAATGGTCACAGCATCAGGCTAGTCCAGGTAGTTAGTGCCTTTGGCACCATCAGGTGCTGGCAAGAAAGACACTTGGGTTCAAATCCCAGAGCTGGAACTGACTGGCTCTGTCAGCCAAGGCAAGACAGATATTCTGAGTCTTCATCAGTAATACAGGCCAAAGACGTGTTACAAACAAATTTGGGGACTTATCTCTTGGGAAACTTCTATTTCTACTCTCTAGAGCTGGAAAGGGAGAGAGGGGATTCTGTTTCTACATTCCTGATTGGTCCAGGGTCCTCGAAGCAGGCTAAGGAATTTCCTTAAAGCTCCAAGTGCCTGGATACATCAGTTAACAGACAATGTATTGATGGCTATTTATAAAACTCATTGACCTGCATTCCAGGTCAAAGGACCCTCCCTGCCCCTCCTCCACCCCGCCAGTCTTCAGCCTTGATCACCAGTCAGAGATGAAATCTCAAATTGCAGTGAGTGCCAACAGGAAAAAAGAAGGTGGGACGCAGAGAAAGGAGACCTGTTCACACAGCAGACTGAGCAGTGGTCCCTCAATGCCAGGCAGACTTGAGGCAGCAGGGTCTCCTCTGGGAGGATTCAAGAAAATCTTAGGAAATCTTAAATCCATATTTTTTTTTTTCCAACCAAGCAAGAGATTTCTTGCCCCTTACGTGATGAAACTAGGCACTGTTGAGAAATTGTTTCAGGAGAGGCTGCCAATCTCAATGCATTCCTTTCCCACCACTGCCAAGTCTGTTCCAGGAAATCTACACTTTTTCTATCATGTTCAGAATTCTCCCAGACTCTGCCCACTCTCCAATTCCAAAGCCGCTTCCACATTTTTAGGTGTTTGTTACAGCAGGACCTCACCTCTGGGTACCAAAGTCTGTATTGTTTCTTAGTGCTACTGTAACAAATTACCATAAACCTAATGACTTAAAATAACACAAACAGGTGGTCTTAGAGTCCTAAAGGTCAAAAATCCATAAAGGGTCAGTAGGGGTACATTCCTTCTGGACGCACTAGGGAGAATCCTTTTTTTTTTTTTTTTTTAACCTTTTCCAAACTCTAGAGGCTACCTGCATTTCTTGACTCCTGGTCTCTTTCTGTGTCTTCAGATTTTCCCTTCTCTCTCCTCCCCATCCCCACTTCTGTAGTCATATCTTCTCTGATTCTGATTTTCCTGCCTTTATCTTAAAAAGTGACTACATTCTGATTATATTAAGCCCACCTGGACAACCCAAAATAATATCTTGTTCTCAAAATTCTTAAGTTAATCACACCTATCAAATTCCTTTTGCCAGCAGGTAACGTATTCAACAGGTCGGAGGGAATAGATAAGGGTGAGAGCATCTTCGGGAGGACTCATTTCACAGCCAGGAGTCAGGTGAAGATTGACAATGGGCAGCCAGGCCTGCAATGTGGCCTTTGAGATCTGGCTCTCGTTTGGCGATTAGATTGTCAGATAACTTTGTGAAAGTCACCTTTCATCCGTGGGTCCATAGGTTATAAACTTTATGTATGCATTAAATGCTTCCTAAGTTGCCTGTACATTAAAGTCACTTGAGTTCTTTCTAAAACACCAGGACGCCTCCAAAGATGCTAATTTAGATTGCAGGAACAGGGGAAGGCTCCCCTTCGCATTGGTAATGCACAGATGAGTTTGAGACCCTGCGCTCCTCAGCTGTCTCACATTCAGGTTATTGGAGTTGACAGCCAGTCCTCTGACCTCTGACTCGGGTTTTAATAGTGTCCGTTATTCTGACCTAGACTCGGCCAATTTACAATCAGGAGACAAAGGGAATACAGAGTCCAGAAATTTAGGACCTTTTAGAATTTGAAATACCAATTGTTTCACCATCCCAAGCAGTGCGATAGAATTTTTTAAAAGGCCTCAAACAATATAGCCACAAAACCCTTTAATTGGTGAAGGTGGCTTAAGGAGGAGAATGGGTTAAGATTGTGGCAGTCCCAATTCTAGCCCGGGAGCCTCCACCTAAAGAGAGTTGTGGGTCGGGCGTGGAGAAGCAGAGGAGTCAGCTAAGTACTACACAAGGGAAGGGAGTTTACGTGTCTTTACTGGTAGATCAGAAAGGTGCCAACAATTATTTGAGGGAATGTGTTGCTGAGAAAATCTGAAGCCAAGACAGAAAAAGGCTTTGATCGTTTGAACTGTAAAACAACTTATAAATCTTCCATGAGCTACAGAAAAGAGATAATGGCCCCCAGGGGAGGGCATGCCCGCCAAATTCCACTTCCACTGTGGCCATGGAGAAGAAATGGACAAAAGACAGCCTCACAGAAGGTGGATCGAGGGCTCTGGACAAACCAGGTCCTCCAGCAGGAGGGATTAGAGCCCCCAGAAGAGGCCCTTCCAATGTCTCCCCAGCAGCGTACCAGAACCGCTGTAAATCAGTCACTGCCAAGTGTCTCCCCGTCCTCTTGGGCAATGAGAGTGTTTATTGCAATTGTCCTGTTCCTATTTCCTTGTATGTGGGTGTATAAATCGAACAGATAAGTTGTTTTTTCTTTTTAAAGTACCATCAATCCTTTATTTGGAAACCTTAAAATTCGCTCTTATGAGGCTTCATTATCTGTTTTTCTTTAATTTTTAATATCTTTAAATTGTGGCAAGAAATATGATAAATTGTATTACATTTTAAGAATACATATTTAAGTGTATACCTCAGTGGTATTAATGTTAATGGACGTACTTAGCATGGCTGTGAAACAGATTTCCAGAACATTTTCATCTTGCAAAACGAAACTCTATACACATTAAACAATGGGTGAAAACCATTTCCTCTGGTCCAGCTCCTGGCAACCACCATTCTACTTTCTTTTTTATCAATTTATCTATGTTAGATATCTCATCTAAGTGAGTTCATATGATGTATGTCTTTTTGTGACTGGCTTATTTTATCTAGCATAATATCCTCAAGGCTCGTCCATGCTGTAGCATGCACCAAGATTCTGTTCCTATTTAAGACTTACTATTGTCCATTGTGTGTGTATACTACATTTTGTTTATTCATTCAACAGTGGACAACTGATTTGCTTCCAACTCTTGGCTATCACACATAATGCTGGATACACAAATATCTCTTCTAGATTCTGCTTTCAATTCTTTTAGACATATACCCAGAATTGGGATTTCT